CGATACCCGTAATCATGAGGACATGGGATGCACTGTTCTATCGTAAACAATGATGCGCGACAGATGTTGCAATCCACGCTTCCGTTCCAAGACACCTAACCATAAGCGCTTGCAAGCATTATTTTCGCTACGGGAAGCCGTCCTTGAACGGTGATAGTCTCACGGGCAATTCACTCAAGCGATAGCACCATTTTACTAGTTTAGTTGTTCTCCACCCTTCTATTGTGAGCCGTGCGACGGTGTGGGCCCATACAGAACAAGGACATGCCAAGCGAATCTGTTGCATTGCCGCGCAAACTTTTAGACTGATTTGGGGCCCTGGCGCACTTTCACATCATGGTCCTGGAGCAGCAAAGTCAGCCTTTCAGCGAGACCTCCACTTCTGAACAGGTGCTCTTCCTCAACCGTGGCCATCCACCGCGCACGAGTCGTTGCGTTCACAGGGGTCTTCGGCGAGAGCCCAGAGCCACAGACTGGAACGCTGTGAACCTAGGGCGGCTGTGAGCAGCACGTCCTGGCGAAAGCGGCATGCTGATAACGTGTCGCCCTCCACGTGTGCACTGCTGGGGCAATCACGCCTCAGGGTCATTAGCGGAGAGGAAGTCTCAGGCGAAATGTTTGGCTCGCCCTACCAACACTTTGGTGGCGCGCTGGGGGGGGGGTATGAAGGAACTTTGCGCCAGATCCAGAGACGGATCCAGAACGATGAGAAGGAGGAGAAGGAAGAGCAAATGTATACGAAGACGGGGAGAGGTGGGGTTGCGACGGCGAGGGGGTGGAAACGAGTGGTGAGGAGGAGAGTTGAAACTAACGCGGACGCGGATGAGGTGGAGACAACATGTCGAGGGAATATGAGGTGCAGGGCGATGCCGCCGTCGTGTGATGAGGAGTCGCGAGGGAGAGAGAGAGAGAGAGAGGATACAGAGAGAGGTAGAGGGATAACGAATCACAGAGAGAGAGAAGGCCGATGTGCGTGAGGAGGAGTGGATGGGGAGGCTGCGTTGATGGAGGGGTGATGATGATGTTGATGAAATAGGTGATGATGATGACGCTGACGATGATGGTGACGATGCCGATGCCGATGATGACGATGCCGATGATGATTGCGATTGTCATGAGTATGGTGATCCTGACTATGCTCAGAGGATGATGATTGTGAGTGCGGTTATGGCGATGAGGTTGACTATCATGTTGAGGCCGATGATGAGGATGTTGATGGTGATTATGATGGTGGGGCAGATAATACTGATGATGGATATGATGACGCCGCAGACGATGCTGATTATTATGATGATGTTGGTGTTGATGATGATGTTGATAAGCATGATGATGTTGATCACGATGCTGATAATGTCGCTGACGATGCCGAAGCTTGACATGATGACGATGCTGCTGATGTTTACGATCATGATTATGATGATGATGCTGATGATGCCAGTGCTGCTGCTGATGATGATTATGATGGTGATAATGTTGATACTGTTGATTACGATGATGATGCTGATGCTGCTGATGAGTTCGGTGGTGATGCTGATGATGAGATTTATGTTGACGGTAATAGTGGCGGTGATGATGATGTTGATGTTGATGGTGATATGGTGATGATGTGGCCGCGACGACGGCGACGGCGGCGATGGCGACGAGGACGGTGATGATGGTGGTGCTGATAGTGGTGATGGCGAGGCGGAGTTATAGGAAGAGGCGGAGGAGAAGGCGGAGGAGCAGGAGGAATCAGGAGGCGGAGTGAGGACGAAAACGATGAGGATCATGTAGACGAGCAGGAGGAGGAGGAGGAGAAGGAGAGGAGGGAGGATCCACATTCCCTTTTCATAGGTCCCTAACCGCAAGTTGTTCTGCGGGAAGTGTCGCACTGGAAGACAACTGTCTGATGATTATTGGATCGTGCCAGAACGCTGCTCCTGGGATCCCAATACCGCGAATCAACGTGGCCGTTGTGTCTTGACAATCTGGAACCGTGCTAAAACGCTATTCCTGGGACGTCGCCACCGCGAATCAACGCGAATGCAGCTCCCTGAGAGCCCTAAATTGCTCACAAGCACCATTCCTGTGACTTCAAGCGTACGCGTCCGTGAAATCGTTGCGAATTTGAAAGTCGAACGCGTGCGGCGCTAAGGCGAGGGCCACATTTAGAGAGGAGCCCGCCCTACACCCGTGACGCTGTTGCAAACCTTTAAGACGCATGTGCGCGGCGCTGGAACGATATTCACTCATGACGAAGGCCCGTCCTCTATATCCATTCGCTGCCACAACTGTGAAGATGAATACGCGCTGCGCTGCAGCGAGAGCCACATTTTTGAGAAGAGAAGGACCCGCCCTCCATCCATGAAGCTGCGGGAAGCTTTACGACAAATGCGCGCGACGCTCAGGCGAGAGCCACATTTTGTTTACGGCCCGCCCTCCATTCGTGACGCTGTGGCAAGCTTTTATGACGAATGTGCGCGGCGCTAGGGCGATATTCACATGTTACATGTGGCCCGCCCTCCTATCCTTGAACTGTCACAAGCTTGGAAGGCGAATACGCGCTGCGCTGAAGTGATAGCCATATTTTGAAACTGGCTGGCCATTAATTTTGAACATGTTCGAAACTTTACGACGAATGCGCACGAAGCTCCAACGATAGCCTTTTTTGCTCAAAACGATCCGCTATCCACTTGTGAAGCTGGTGCAACTTTCTAGTTGCAGGGCCATAATTTGGGAGGAAGTCTCAGGCGAAACGCCCAGCCCGCCTTACCAACACGTCTTGGGTCACGACAGAGATTGAGCAGGAGGAGGACTGCGGAAACCAAGGAAAAGGATGACAAGGAGTATGAGGAGGAGGAGGATGAGGAGGAGGAGGAGGGGGAGGAATGAGCAATCATAAGGAGGGGGAGGCGGAGGAGGAGGAGGACGAGGAGCAGGCCGAGCAGGAGCAGGAGGAGGGCGAGGGACTTGAGTGGCGGATGATATGAGAGCAGGACGAGGGAAGGAGGGGAGTGGCAAAATGTTAGAGAAGGGGCAGTGGGAAGAAGAGAATAATGAAGGGACGAGGGACGAGAGTTGGGGGATGAAGAGAACAATGAAGGGACGAGACGGAGGACGGGAGGGGAGATCAAGAAGTCAGTGACGAGGAGGAGGGAGAGGGGGTCTCTGGAGGACCAGGAGGTCCTTACCACGAGTGACATCACGAGGTTTGAGGTTACCAGCTTGAATTCCAACCCTTGGCTGGGTGCCCAGAGCCGATGGGCCCCCAACCCAGGTTTGGAATCCGCGCCGTCATCCTCCGATTCCTTCCGACCCGATTCATTCCGATCCAGATTTTGTGCCGATGAGATCTCTGGTCTTCGATCCGATGGAGGTTGGGCCTGAGAGGAGCCCCCTGGACGAGGCTCAGGGCGCCCTGGGGAGGCAGCAGGACCGCGCTCCGCACATGCTTTCAGAAGGCAGGCCGAAGGCCGCTCTGGCCCCCCCCCACACGGGTAGGAGCCTTCGGGGTCCCTCGGGGACGAGCCTGGCGCCCGCGGAGGGTGGGGAGGTCCGCCCCCCTTTCGTCCTCACAGGGTAAGGCGATGGCCGCTCAATTTCCAGCGGGTCTCCCTGGATGGAGCCGCCCCCGCAGTGGCGCCCTCAGAACTCGCCTTTGAGAAGACCCTCGCGGCGGAGGTCTTGACGCCGGACTTGGCCGGCCTTGCCTGGAACGGCGACTTTGCCTTTCTTCTGTGGCCTCCGCTCGACCGTGTGTGTTGCGCCTCTTGGGGGCCAGGGGAACCCTTCTGTGGAAGTCCTGGGAGGCTCTTCCACAGCTGTTTTTGTTCACGGGGTTTGCGCGGTGGCCAGGGGCGAGAACAATGACGATCAGGTGTGAGGTCGGGGAGGCTGTAATTGAGGATAGGGGGTGCGAGTGTGGACGTTGCGAGTGCACGCGGGGACGGCATTTGGTATAGCAGGATGGGTGTCGGCATCAGCGCGGGGACCACTCGCTGTAGTTATGGCGCTGAAGCGGTTGGATTGATCTGAACGGAGCGTTGCATCTGGAGGCATGCGATCGAGGGCGACGGACATCTGAGCGGTCATGCGGGGCGTGGTGGGTGATGGTGCAAGTCTCGTTTCTCACCACCCGCCAACCCCCCCCCCAAACCGAAGGCCCAAATGTGCCGTCCTTTCCCGGGAGGGGGTGTGTCGGGGAACATCGAACAGCATGTGCACCCGTCCCCCCCCGCCTTCCCGACAGGTGGGTATTCGGGCTGGGCTGGGGTGGTTTGGTCGGTCGTATGTTTCGTGTGTCGATGTCCCATGGAAAGGAGGACGCGCCAGACTGGTCGCACGAGCCTCCGCCGATGCAACCTCGGAGCCCCCTGGCGGCCCTCCTGCGCCCGCTCCGCCTTCCGACCGGCCTCTGTGGACAGCGTGCGCGTTGCAGCCGCAATGCCGAAGTTAGAGCCGCGTTGGGTTCAGAGGGGGTTCCTCCGGGTGGGGGTTCCCGTCCGTGGCCGAGGCCCGCCGTGGCCAGAAGAACCGCCTTACGGCTGGTGCCGCCGACCCTGCTCGCTATGACGAGGAGGAGGAGGACGAGGAGGAGGAGGAGGAGGAGGAGGAGGACGTGGAGGAGGAGGGGGAGGAGGAGGAGGAGGAGGAGGAGGGGGAGGAGGAGGAGGAGGGGGAGGGGGGGGAGGAGGAGGAGGAGGAGGAGGAGGAGGAGGAGGAGGAGGTGGAGGAGGAGGTGGAGGTGGAGGAGGAGGAGGAGGAGGAAGAGGAGGAGGAGGAGGATGAGGAAGCAAAGAAACCCAGTGGGAAATTCCGAACGGGACAAGTTTTCCAAGGGAGGTGTAGGCTCCCGGGGGGGGGGGTCACAACCCCCCAGACCCGCCACGGCATGTCATTCTGCGCTTCTTTTTCGCAGCACGATGGTTATAGAGTCAGCGAGCGTCGTCCAGATCATCGACTGCCGGTGGCGGCCTTCTATGTTTCCTTTCCTCCGACGGGTGGCGGGCGCTCTCGCCGAGGCCACCGCCCCCGGTGGGGGCCGGCGACTCCGCTGCAGGGCACCCGATGGGCCACGCGGGGGCCGGCGCGAGCTGCTTCTCTCTCTTTCTCGGGGGGTGTGGGGCACGAGCTGTGCTCGGAGGCCGCCAGAAGGGTTCGTTGGACAAGGTTACTTTCGCTGGAAGCGAGGTCCCCCCAGCCCGACCTTAGGCACTCCAGCACGACCTGAGGCGCCCCAGCAGCCGTCGAAATCACCCTTCTTAAACCAGACCTTCTCGCCGTCCTCGATATGCAGTGGGAGCGTTGGAAGTCGAGTTGGGGACTTATGCACAGCCGCAGCGTGGCTCAATTCACGTTTGGCTTCGCAGTCGTGTTGCTTTTTGCTATTCAGAAACACGGTCGGGCTTCGCGTGTTTCGAAGCTACGTGCTGTCCGAGGGGGTGCCAACTGCACTCATCTGCCCGCGCGTCGCGCCGATCACGCGGCTCAGTGACGGCAGTGGTGCCCAAACGAAGCGCCCGTGGTTGCTGTTTTGGTCACCGCATGGGAGATCGACCCTCGGGATCTTCGGAAAGCTGTGGATATGGATGCATCTGGCCCCCCAGGACCCGACAATATAAACATCCAGAGCCTGCCGAGGCCCCCGAAGATCGATTCCCGGGCGGCGATTATGGATATATCCCCGCCTCGCACGAAATAAGGACCACTGGGTGCAGGAGGGGCGCCGGTCTCTCGGCCGCTCCTCTAGATTCGGGTCGGGGAACCCCTACCTTGCCGAGAATCTCGCCGTGGCAAAACACATCCGGTCGCTCCTCACAGCCAAGATTCAGGTCGGGCATGTCCCCCTACAGGCGGATTTGGATGAACAAGTCGTCAACAATACCCCAAATGGTCAAACATAGTCAACCCATCGTCCCCAGAGTATTTGTTTCACTAGTTTTGAATATATTCCTCCTGTAGAGGGACGTGCCCGACCTAAGCCAAGACGCTGAGAGAGGGGCCACTGGGCTCAGGAGGGGCCCTGGGTTCCGATAAGCCGAATCATCGAAACGACAAGCCGAATCGAATCGGTAAGTCGATCGGATCAACCCGAATCGAGGCTGGTTGCCCCGGCCCCCCCCCCGTGGGGGGCGGCCCAAAGTCTCCCTGTACAGTCGGGGCGCTGCAGAAGGAACCTTTTTCGTTGGGGAGGGGCTCGGTGCTCCTTGATTGTTTTACAGTTTGCCTTGGGTTTTCCTGAGGCTTTCCATCGGAAATCGAAGTTCACCTTAAGGGAACAAAAGGTGCCTCGTTCCTTATTTAGGGTTCCTTGGGTGAGCGCCCCGGCTGTAAAGGAGGAATCTTCAAACATAGCCAAACAACCATGTTTGACCATTTGGGTGTATTGTTAGGCTATTTTTAATGGCTCGTCCAAAATCCGCCTGTAGGGGGACAATGCCCGACCTGACCCTGCAGCCAGGACGCTGAAATAAGGGCGAGCTTTATGATGTTCCAACCTACTTTAGCCTCGATCACCATGCTTATTTTCGAGCATCAGTCATAGTACCGACACTATAGGGTGTTCGCGTGTCGGGCCCTGGGAGGCGATACTCGTTCGACTGTCTTTTGATACTTTTCTGGGTGCTCGAGCTTGTTTCTGGAAGGTGGCCCTGAAGTGCGATGGAGGCAACAAAAGCCCAACTTGGGTTAAGGAGGCCGTCTAGTTTTCGGGCCGCTCCTCAGGCCCAGGTCGGGGGCACCTGCCCGTGGTTGCGCCCGCCGCGGCCAGGGACCCTCCCCCCCTACCGATCCTCGCAGTCAGGGCGCTGGAGGGGGGGCCACTTCGGTTGTGGACGACGATCAGTGGAGAGGAAACATGTTGCCAAATGATTTCCAGATGTTAGAAACCATGCTTTGAGCATTTTTAGAACATTTCCCAAGCACGTTAAGCACATGTTTGAATCAATGATCGGATTGTTGGGGTGTCCATGGTCAGGGCGTCCACAACACTTCGGGCTCCGGCGCGGCTCTCTGGGTTCCCGGCCGGTCCTCAGAGCCAGGTCAGGGGGCGTGCTCGTGGCCAAGGCTCGCCGCGGCCAGAAGACCCCCCCTCGTCCCCTTGCCGTCAAGACGCTGGAAGAAGGGCAGCTTTGAGCTCAGGACGGGCTCTGACCTTCGGGCCGCTCCTCGAGATCATGTCGGGGAGCTTGCTTGTGTCCGAGGCTTTCGCCGTGGCCAGCCGAGGCCCCCCATGGGGGCGATCCCAGCGCTGGTCCAAGAGATCCGTGCGGACCCTCGAAGATTTACGCTGGTGCAGCTGTTGTCTGCCCCCGCCCCCTCATCTCACCCCCGCGTCTGTGCAAGGCGCTCCAACACAGGACCACTTTGGGCTCAGTGGGGTTAAGTCGGGCCTGTCCCTCTACAGGAGGACGATTCAAACATCGTACAAAATGGAGTAGGGAACATGTTCTATTTTTCACTAGTTTCGATCGTTTCATGTATTTCTTATTTCTCCTCCCAGATCCGCCTGTAGGAGGACATGCCCGACCTCACACTAATGTCAAACACCTGTTTTAAAAAATGATCCCCCCCCCTCCCCCACCCAGGGCCCGAGTGTCATTATTACGGCGGCGGACAAGTATTTGTTTAAGTGTCCCCCTGGAACAATATCCGACGGAGAGCGAACACAATGATGTATTGTAAACATATACACACACACACACTCGCACGCATTTGGGAAATGCGTTCGAACTTCCTGCGGGCAGATGTATAGGCTGCTCCGGTCGACGAATAAGTAGTTCTCGTTCCACTGGAACAGTGTACGTGCGTACGCTTCCCACAGAGCATGGGCCATGGCCGCCGCGCGTGCGGCGGCCTTGCCCCTCGCGCAGTGTTACGTTTTCCCACGCAGTGTGCCAGGGCCGCCGCGCGCGCGGCAGCCCTCGCCCTTCGCGCATGGTGTGTTTTCCCGCACAATGGGCCAAGGCCGCCGCGCGCGCGGCGGCCTTGTCCTCGCGCGCTGCGCGTTTTCCCGTACAGTTTCCCGGTTGTTTTTCAATGCGTGTTGTGTTTTTCCAAGCCAGATGTGCGTGGGCCGCCGCGCGCGCGGCGGCCGACTGGCCCACGCGCGTTCTGTTTTTCCATACAAGATGCGCGCGGCGGCCCTGGCCCCTCGCGCATGGTGTTTTCTTCTATAGAAAGTGCCCGTGGGCCGCCCCGCGCGCGGCGGCCCCGGTCCCTCGCGCGGTGTTTTTTTCCATACAGGATGCGCGTGGGCCGCCGCGCGCGCGGCGGCCCTGTGCCCCTTGCGCATGGCGTTTTTCCATACAAGGCGCGCGTGGGCCATCGCTCGCGCGGCGGCCCCTGGCCCCTCGCGCAGTGTGTGTGTGTGTGTGTGTGCGTGTGTGTGTGTGTGTGTGTGTGTGTGTCCGTACAAGGTGCGCGTTGGCCGCCGTGCGCGCTGCTGCCCTGGCGACTTCGCGCATTGCGTTTTTCCATGCACGATGCGCGGGGGCCGCCGCTCGCGCGCGGCCGCCCAGTGCCCCTCGCGCATTGCGTTGCGTTGTTCCATACAAGATGCGCGTAGGCCGCCGCGCGCGGGCGGCGGCCAATGGCTCTTCGCGCATTTTTTTCCTGTCCCACCATATGCGCGTGGGCCGCCGCCCGCGCGGCGGCCCTGGCCGCTCGCGCGCTCTTTTTTTCCATGCAGGGTGCGCTTGGGCCGCCGCGCGCGCGACGGCACATATCCTCTCGCGTGTTTTTTTTCGTATATGTAAAGGAAGGATGCGCCGTCGCTCATTGCATCTTTGCGTATACGATTCGCGTGGGCCTCAGCGCGCGCGGCGGCCCTGGCCCCTCGCGCTCGCGTTTTTTGTTTGTGCTTCGTATATGTATTATTATTGTTCTTCTTTTTCTTATTCTTTCTTCCTCCCCCTATCTGTTTCTTCCACTCAAGACGCGCGTGGGCCGCCGCGCGCGCGCGGCTGCCCACTGCCCCTCGCGCAGTTTTTTTCCATACACGGTGCGGGTGGGCCGCCGCGCGCGCGGCGGCCCATGGCCCCGCGCGCGTTATGGTTTTTCCATGCAGGACGCGCGTGGGCCGCCGCGCGCGGCGGCCGCCTTTTGCGCTTCGCGCAGCATGGCTGTTCCGTACAATGTTCGCATGGGCCGCCGCGCGCGCGGCGGCCCATGGCCCTCGCGCAGTTCGTTCTTCAGTTCAAGATGCGCGTGGGCCGCCGCTCGCGCGCGGCGGACCACGGCCCCATCGCGCAATCTGTTTTGCCATGCAGCGTGCTCGCGGGCCGCCGCGTGCGCGGCAGCCCTGGCCCCTTGCGCATATTTTTCATATAAGATGCGCGTGGGCCGCCGCGCGCGCGGCGGCCCTGGCCTCTCGCGCACTTTTCACGCGGGGCGCGGGCGGGCCTCCGCGCACGCGCGGCAGCCCATGCGCATTTTCTCATACGAGGCGCGGGTGGCCGGGCCCCTCGCGTGCGGTGCTGGGGTTGTCGCGCGCGCGGCGGCCCATGGCCCCTCGCGCATTGTGTTTTATCAATGCAAGGCGCGCGTGGACCGCCGCGCGCGCGGCGGCCCTGTGCACCTCGCGCATTTGTGTGTCCCCCGCGCGCGGTGCGCGTGGGCCGCAACGCTCGCGCGGCGGCCCATTGCCATCCACGCGTTGCGTCTTCCATTCAAGATGCGCGTGGGCCGCCGCGCGCAGGGCAGCCCGTTGGCTCATTGGCTTTCGCGTTTTTTTTTTTTTTTTTTTTTTTTTTTGAATTTTCATGCGCGATTCGCGCGGGCCGCCGCCCGCGCGGCTGCCCTGGTCCATCGCGCATCTTGTCTTTCCATATAAGAGGCGCGTGGGCCGCCGCGTGCGCGGCGGCCCTGGCCCCTCGCGTATTTTGTTGTTACCGTGCGAGACGCGCGTGGGCCGCCGCGCGCGAGGCTGCCTTGTCTCCTTCGTTTCTCCCAACCATCCTGTGGTGTTGGGTCGTCGTTTTGAAGTAGCGGTCCCCGCGTTCTCCCCTCCTCCTCTGCTTCCTCCTCCTTGCTGCCGCCCGCATGCGTCGCGCACGCCCAATTCGGCACACC